CAAAACAGAGCCAAAGCCAATTATACTCGGCTTTGGCTTTAGTCGACTTAATCGCTACTCGAACTTTTGTGACCCTGCTGCCCGCTGAACCCCGCAAAACCACTCGGCAATTAGTTTGCGCTTCAACGCGTAATTAAGTTTGACATTTTTCTGCGCTACTTTTTGCGCCAGGCACAAAAGATATCGAAAAGACAAAGGCATTTTGTATGGGGCTGGAAATTGCTCAATCTACAATCTTCGACAGAAAGTGGGAGCTCACTTGAGTGGCCAGGTCCGGTTTTTTTCATTTATTTAGGTCCATTTGAAACCGGTAGAAATCGTTCTACCAAATTTGACAGGTCCAAAGCACGCGGCGTTTTTGGTTTTTATATATTCTCTTTATTTCTGCTATTCCAGCTCCCACTTGACTTTTTGTATATGATTTTTTGTCAAATGGCCTTTTTTCCGCGGGTTATTAAACAATACTCGACTTGCCATATAAATCAATTAAAACCGTTGCAGCTGCAAACTCAATTGCAGCCTTTGAAGTTTCCATTTGCCGAACAAGATTTTGTAATTACTAGTGGCAGCGGCGTCTTTTAGATGTAAGATCCAAATGTGCGCGCATCCCAGAGATACTTTTCGTTCTCTCGACACTTCATAGTTTTCAGGGTCAATGAAGCCGCGACATTGGACGCGTTCAAAAACTCAATTTTCGAGGATCATTCGGATTTTGGGCTTTCGTTTCCCCAGCCAGGCGAAAGTTAACTCATAAAGAGATCGCCCATCAAAATGATTCATATATAAAAACACGAAACACTTATTAATAGATCACAAGGTCGCGAGCATCTAGAAATCTAGAGAGTCGACAATAACAGTGGAACTTTTGGAACAGCTCTCACAATCTCTGATCAGTGGCTGTCTGGGGTCAGGAATGGGACTCTACCTTATGTTTTTAGCACCTGTTCGTCGAGAATTCTACGCCCATGTGCCATTTCATGTGGCGTAGGTGTGCGAACGCCTTGGCTTGTTCTGCCCGAATGTTTTTTGTCAAATAAAATTTGGTGGCGTTATCTGTTGCCTTGTAAATTGAGTAACCTTCACATTGCTCATTTTTCACTGCTTCTAAATGGATGCGCGTCACTGAACTTTGCCAAATGGGGGATTTAAAAACGGTTTTGTCTTGAAGACCGTTTATTTCCCTTCATAATTACTTCCCAGGAGGAGTGGCCACTTAAGATTCAATGAACGACGCTTTCATTTGGGGCTTTGATGTGATTTTTATGGTTCGCGACTGAGGCGAATAGCCAAAATGTGGCTCAGTTGAAATATATGCCAGACGCGCATATTACGTATACGCCCACGCACACCTGAACTCTGGGCTGTGTGGCCCACTTATCCCTAAGCTCGCAACGTGTTCAACTTGAGATCCCCCAAAAAGGCAAAGGAGAAGGCTTTCAGGTTGTTGCTGATCGCAGCCTTTCAATGTCAGTTCGCAATTATGACATCACCGAGTGCATCGCCTATATAGATCGCTATGTGTGCAGCAAACAGACTGACTCTGTTTTCATTCAGATACATTTTCTCAGCCAATTGGGTCAGCGATCACTAAATGCAAGCAAACAGTGGCATTATTGTTTAACAATAATTTATATGCTGCGGTTTTCTCAACTTTACCGCAGCATTTGCGGGCGCTCAGAAAAGTAAAAAGTCCGGGGTTCAGCTATCAGCGATCATTTGAATATTGAAATTACTGGACGGCCAGTGAATATATTTTGTATAAATAAGCACACACAACCGCAAGGCAGACGAGCGCGACTCAAGTCGGGTAACTGGCTGTATAGTATAGATAGGTACGAGTATATAGCTACTGGGGGCTACCTACTCCTCCCACTCCTCACGCCGCCCTTCCCCGCGAAACACTTCTGTTTGATCACACATATGCATATGTATCCACCTCCGGGGCCAGCTGCTCGCCTGTTATTTCAATTTCGAGGCGATCGTTTATCACTCGATTTGCATGCGACGGCGATCGATTGATCTCCCGATCCGCCCAATCGGCTGCCAACTGCCTGCATTTCTCCGCTGATAATGTCAGTCTCCTGGCAGCCAGCCATATATTCACTTACACTTTCTAATTTATTTTTGATTTGATGGTGGCACTGCAAAACGCAGTCGAGGGATATCAATTTGATTCCGCTGATTCGGCAGCCTCGTAATTAGTTATTTTCATAAATTTGATATTTGTCTCCAAGTGCGTAGCGTTTCGAGGCGATTTGGATTTGGATCCGACGACTTGCGCGCGATTTCGATGTGAGTGCGGCGGGTTTCACGGAGCGACTGAAAACGCGGGCTGCTGCCGCCAACGTGAGAGACGACTCGCGATCGCGATTTTTCTCATCTGCGAGCGTTTGTTGATTTTTCCGCTCGTTCTCGGCTGGCTAGCTGGCTGAAAAGTTCTCAAAACTTAGACGCTGTTTTTAGTTAAGACAGCTTTTGCGTGGCCGGCGAGGAGCTTTCTCCGAAACAGAAAAAGCAGAAACCAGTTAGACGATTGGATAGCCCTCGCTGCTCCGCTGTTCCGGCATGAAGATATCAAGAATTTGGTCAAACAATGGTGGGGCGATCCTCTACAGCGCATTGCACTAGGCAAGCCAAACAAATCAGTGGACGTTCTCTTTACTTGGGCTCGACATCCGTGTTTTTTGCGACATCGCGTTGAGGAGCTCGAGATTCCAGCCGCAGATACATCCGCACGCCATGACCCCATCTGCCTTTATTGGTAATGAATAAGCTAGTGCACTGAGGCATAATGCATGAAAATCTTTTTTTAAAAGCAAATAGATATTCCATCAGATAGAAATTAAAAGCTTTTGAGTGTGGTTCGTTTTTAAATGCCTTTAAAATATCCTGCAATATGTTAGTTTACAAGACTTGCACTAAATTCTGAGTTTCTTCTTTCAACCTTTTCTTACACATAAATTTAATTATACTTAAATGAAATTGAATGTTATGCAACTTCAAGAATTGTACAGCATGTTTTTCTCTGTGCATCTTCCTGCCGTTAGTGGCCAGGTTTTTGGTCATTTATTCTGTAAAAGGTAAACGCTAGCATTCGACTTATTGGCATCTAGGCGAGAGTTTTGTAGGCCAGCTTTGGCATGCAGCTACTTTCATATTTATCAAATCGTGCCATTTCCTTATATTTCCATTGTATGCAAATTTAGTCGAGGTATATTATATACCCCTTTGGGGCATGCTTAAATCGGGCCAGGAAGCTTAGTAGTTCGTATCCAGTGCCCTATTAATACTCAGATTTGTAAGATCTAAGGTTTATATTTAACATTCTTGAGTTATACTTATAGGAATTGCTCTGAGACTATCAATCTTTATATCTCTCTCTTTCTCTTGGGCGCCCATACTCGCTAGAAAAGTGACTCATTAGTTAAAGTTAATTTGCGCTACCAGTCGACCGTTATCGTGTGCCATAATCTATATATATATTTTCATCAAACACAATAACACATAATCGAGTCTGGCGGCTGCATATTATGTTTTATTTGAAAATTTATATATATACATTACAGTAAATAATTTAGTCAGGTAGGTGGAGAAATAAAATGTAAGATTACTTAATTAACGTACAGCAGCACTTCAAACGAAAAAGAACGAAAACCGGAACCGAATCGAAGTCCTTGGGTGGCACTTGCTATTGCTATTGCTATGTCACGTGCTGTACTGCCCGGTAATATCTAAGCGCAGTTGTGGGTCGTTGAAATGTATACAATGCTCGTGCGTTATGTATGTTGCTTCATGTACAATTTAACCACATGGTCGACTATCCTAGGTCCTTGGGCGAAACGGGGTCTTGGCTGACGAACGACTGACTATAAGCCTAACCTGTCCGGAAATGCATCAGGGAGTCTGGATCTCGGACAAGCCAATGGGTTGACTACTTGCTTGTGCCCGCGGCAGCGGCCTCCTCCTTCTTTTTCTGCTTCTCTCGCATTAACTCAGCGTCCCTGGGGTATGTAATGGTATATTAATAATATTATTGTCTATGGAATATATTGTAGATCACTCACCTGGCCTTCCTCTGCTCCACGGTGAGGTTATCAGTTCGCTTTCCCTTGGTCAAATCCGCCTGCTTCTTCTGGTTCTTCTGGCGGGCCAGGTCGCGTTGGTTGCCGCCTAGTAAGTTGGTGATATTATAATTAGTAAATACGAGGCAGCTGGTTAGAGGCGCGTGCTAAACGTGATCTACATAATCCGTGAGAGGTTAGAGGCGCTCACATGTCCTCTGCTCGTCCATCGATTTTTGCCTGCTCTACATGCGAAAGCCAAGGATTACTTTCGGGTAGCGAAACTAATACTCTATGGCATATTCCGAAGATTAGGATTTTGGATGTCAGAGGAGGTAATCCCCATTGAATTGTTATTTATTACATACACATTTAATACATAGTGCAGTGTTAACAAAATGGCTTCATGATGCCCCTACTTACGTGTCATTTTTAAGGGTCCTTCTGGTTCTCGACTGATAGTAGCTACAATTTGGTTAAACTTTTGTTTTTGTGAATAGTAAATTTTAGTTGCTGAGCGTTGTATTTTAAATATTCTTGCTGCTTTTCGGACAGTCGAAGTTGATTTGTTTTTATTGAACGATGTGTCAAATGTTGAAAGGCACTAACGCGTTAGATACGCAAAAGCACTAACGCGTGGTAATCGATGGGCAGCACTGGTGAGCTCAAAATGAGCAGAGTTGGTATATTTAAAATGCAATACTTCCGGAATTTTAAATATTCGTATATTGAAAGTATATTTAGAACAATCATTTTATGTTATTGTGCCGCTTTTAAGCAATTGTAATGAATATAATTTTTTTCCAAAACAAAATATATGGATGTAAATTTAAATATTTTTGTATTTTTTTTTACAGAAATTACAGTATTACAGAACAGTAGTATGGATAGTGAAGAGATACAGATGTATTTTAAATATTTCATCCAGGAAGCACTTAAGAACTGTACAGCGAAATCAATAGAAACACATCTTATTGATTTTAAAAATAACTATTCACTGATTGTCTTCGATTGTTATTGTTAGCGTATCGTTCCTCGAGATCTTCGAAAATGGACTTGCTGGTCATGTCATCGTACTCCTTTCTTACAACCCAAATTTCCAACGTGCTCAGCAACACAAACTTTGCGTGGGCGCTCTTAAAATAACGAATTGTGCAGATTTAACCACCAAATATATTACCAGTATACCGATTACCTCCTTTGGATGATTTCCAGACCAAAGGCCTGTTGCAGTCAGATATGATTTAATGAGCATTCGCCACACCCAGTACATATGCATGTCGGCCAGTTTCGGTATTGGTGGAACGATAACATGGCTAAATGGATCCAGTTTTACATCTGCTGAATCCCCCATAATACTGTACTTCACTGACCTAAATAAATTTTGAAAGAACCGAAAAATTAATCCAAAAACCATAGAGACGGAAAGATCTAGGGGTGCCTAAATTTTAACAACTGAGAAAAATTTGCTTTTAAGAGTTATTAATAATATTTTTTGAGTAACATGGTGAAACGACTCAGCATTATTCTACTCTATAAATTTCTATAAATATAAATTTACACAAATGAACCCACCACAGGAGAAATAATTCATTCACAAACATATTTGTGTAGTTTAATAATTAATCTGCGGATATACAATAACATTAACACTTAAATGCGTGGATGCTTCACTCCGGGACTTCTCAGCGGAGGCTAATACTAGGGCTAGTAGCAGATGCGAATGCGGATGCGGTTGCGGATAATGGACGATGGGACGGACGGACACGGGAATGGAAATGGGGGCAGGACTATCTGCGCAGGCAGGGCTCGCAGGTGCCCGGCAGGACGAACGAAGGATGGCACTCCGGGCACTTGGGGTTCTCTCCGAACCACTTGGTGCGCTGCTCGGGGATCTTGAGCTGGAACGAGTTGTACAGATCCCCGCTGCTGGAGCTGGAGCTCCCAACCGCTTCTCCTGCGCCAGGACCATAGCCCGTGCGCCCAATGGTTTCCAGCGGGAAGGCGTACTCCGGAATGAGCAGTTGCTTGCGCAAATGGCTTATATCGGTGGAGCTGGCCACCACATCGGATCGCCGCTGTGCCGGCTCCGACTGCAGTTTCTCTTCCTCTTTGGGCTTAATGGATCTCGAGATGGCCAACCGGTGGGTGGTGCTCGACTGCTGGAGAGGCGAAGTAATCTGGACTGGCTTTTTTTGCTGGCTTCCGATATCGTTCAGTCGAGTGTTGAATATATTCTGCTTGCTGGTGACCCCGTAATCTCCGGTGGTCTCGGGATATTCACGTCCATCCACACCAATGGGTGGGTCCAATTTGGGAGGCTCAAGACCGTTCGAGGGCACCTTCCATTCGTAGTAGATAGGCGGTCCCTGGGTGGTTGCTATATCGTGGGGCACAAAGTCTACGAACGGCGGCAGCAAATCGTTGAAGGGCATCTGTGCCGGGCGCGATGGTGGTGCTGCAGTGCTGGTGGGCGTGGCCAGGCGGAAGCTCTGGGCCGGAGCTGGCGTCCGATTATCGCTACGTGGCGGTACTCCAACCGTAGTAACCGTAGTTGGGTGTGTGGTAAAGGAGAAGGGTACGCCAGCCAAGGTCGTTGGTCGACTTAGTGGGCGTGGAGTTGTGGTGCTGACCTCCTTACGACTTGGAACAGGACTAAAAGGAGCCGCCGTTGATGTGCGCAGTGTGGTGGAGACTTCCGCGTTCTGGGCCTGGGTCTCCTCTAGATTGTGGATGGGATACACGAAGGGCGGCTCGTAGATCTTTGAGGGCGGCTTGATGAACTTGGTTAGCTTGGTGCTGGACTGTTTTGTTTCACGGAGTGGCGACTCCGCCGAGTTGAAGTCTGCCGAGGTGTTGTACCGTGTGCTGTGGCTGGTGCCCAAGTCGTCCATATCATGCTCCTGAAGACTGGGTCGCCTGTTGTGCAAGGCCTCCGTTCGCCTGGCGCTTACCGGAGGTCTTCGAGTGGTGGTTGTTGTGGTGGGGGCACGAGTTGTGGTTGTTGGTCGGCTGGTGGTGGTCGCTCTAGTGGTCGTGGTGGTGCTAGTGACAATGGGTATCCTAGGCTTGGCCGCTTGGGCACTGGACAGTTCGATTTGCGGTTCATAAGCCGGTGGAAGGATCGTCCGGCTGGGTGGTGGAATGCGCCAACGCGTCTGCGATATCTGAGGATCCGATTTACCCGCACCGGCTCCCTTGACGGATTCATCGCGTATCTGATTCTGGTTGGAAGGGAACTGCTGCAAGAACAAGCCAGTATAAGTATTTAAAAAGATAATCATTTACAACTAGACATTAATACAAAAGCGTCACCTTATATTGGCTTCTGAAGGACTCTCCGGAATAGTCGGGCGCATAAGGACGATCGAGAAGATCAGGTCTAGGAGTGCGCAAGCTGTTTTCCTCATCGTTTACGAAGGGCTTGTCCCGCTGACCTGGGGAACAGATTTTGTTTTCAAATCTAATATTATTCGTTGGGATACAACACAAACCAATTAGGAGATTGGCGGCATAGTTGCTCTCTGCCTTGGAGCAGTTCACCATGTACCAGTGATCGCAGATTAGCATTCGCTGCTGGAAGAGTGTCGTGTTGGGACAGGTGTAGCTGAACTGGCGACCCAGGCCATCGCACATGTGGTACACCTGGCAGCCCGTCTCCACATCCGCATAATATCCCGCTGGACGTCCGGCGCAGGAGAATGATGTCTTCTGCATCAGCTGCGAGGCAGGATTCGTTTTTGGGATGGCATTTTGAGCCTGCAGAGAATTAAAATAATAATGCCAATTGAAATTTGCAATACTTAAACGAATACTTACTACAAAATTAAATATATTACAAGTAATATAACATTTAAATTAAGCGTTTGTTAGTACTTTGATTGAAACATTAGATTCTAGTCCTTAACAAAACATTCTGTTTTGGATTTCTAGTGAGTTCGTCCAGTAGAGACTTACATAACTTTTTTGGTCAGAGATTCATGATTTCATAGATTGTTCGGAATGCTGGGAAAATATTTTTCACGGACTGGGCGGAAGCTTCTGCACATGTACGTGTAGATCCAGTGGCAGATTTCGATAAGTCATTGGGCTATAATTTGCTACTGTCGACGTGAAATTTTTTCATTATAATTAGGCACATCATAGGGAAACAGCAACAGCTTCCACAAAAACCGACTAAAAATAAAGTTGACATTTCACACAGCGGCACAGGTCGACTGATGCAAGAAGCCGTGGCACCATGTGCCAAGTTATGACATCGCGTCAATTCATCACTTTGGGCCCAAGTCAGGGCAGCATCCGAATCCAACCTGCGGTCTGAACCCAGCTCCCAGCTCGAAACCCAAAATGTACACACTATGCTTACAGCACTCACATTCACATTCACACATGCTGGGCACGAGTACTCGCCGATATCGATCTTTGTGTCATTTGTTTAGCTACTCCAATAGTCTTGTGACTGCGAAAGCCTTCATCAAAGGTAGCCGATTACAGATTATACTCGGAAGACTCCTATCTCCCTATTTTATCTCATAGATGTAAGTTCCTTTCACTCGGTCAAAGCTAAGTAACTTATAAGTAACGTATAAATATAAATACCCAAAATAAAAATTGTAATTGTATAAAAGCTGATTAATGTAATATATTATGTAAAACATTTTGAAAACTTCTTAGAAGCAATGATACCAAGAAAGACTGGAACTACAAACCATGATATCTAATTGCTTAATAAGGCTAACACATTTCGATTTTAGGGCTCTTTTCTTATTTTTCGTTACTTGCCATGGGCCATAGTTAAGTATACTTTTAAATACAAAGATCGGGAATCGTATTGTCCATAGATAAATTCAAGTCAAATTATGTAGTTGGATTTTAATGGGTTACTTTTAAGGAGAGATGTTCCCCTCAGAGTAGAAGCTCGTTAAGTCGAATTGATATTTCCTTTGGATGGAAAGCTCCACAAATTGCAAAGTTGAGGGGAACGATTTGGACTGTAATCATTCCTAATACGACAGGGAATCACTTAAGGAAACCCGATTGTGCAATCCCCAAGATACGAGGCACAATCCAAGGCCCAGTCGAGATTTCAATTTCGCGGGACGGAGCTGTTTGGGTTTCTTATTTCGGGCAATTTGCCATAATTTGAAACGCTCTTCAATTTCATTTCAGGCATATTTACGGGCCGCACTAAAACACACATTCTGCGCCCAGTTGCCCACTCGTCCGTTACATAACAGCCACAACTTCATCCTCGACTTGGGTTTCGTTTTAATTTCTTGTATGCAAATGGCGAAAACAATCAACACACTATTCTCCCTCAGTTTTTGTTGTTGGCCGGCAGTGTGTGTTCCATTTCTGCAAAAGTGTCAGACGAGTCGGAAAAAAGGTCACTTGGTCAGCGAAGTCTTTTGTCTGTGATACACTCGCATTTGTCTCGAGACCTTTGCTTCTCTGAATCATGTGTATCTTTGCCGGCCTGTGTGTGAATTGCGGATTGGATGCACTCGTACACACATAGAATAAATTAAAAATGAAACAAAGCGTAAAGAGCGCAAAATTACAACATTTTCCGCCGTTGCTCAAAGAAGTGTCTTGGGAAGCTCGGAAGATTCGGTGGCAAACACGACGAACATTTGTCGGTGGTGGCTCCACAGGGGATCTTGTGGCAGAATGAAAGCCCTCAAATTATATCTAGTAAGCGTTAACTTCCAAGTATATTATTATTACTCCACAGTATGACAGTCTCACTGATAACAAATTTAACAAATTAATTGACAGTATTTTATGGTAATTTGTACAATGTGTTCCATGCAAGCGACACCCCGTTTCCATGCACTTAAGCCAATATTCGTAAAGATACATTTGACTTTTTAACTCGGATAATTAATTTGTCATCAATCTATTCTTTACGACTTACACACATTGTAAACAGATTGAGAAGTTTACATAAATTTGTATACCTTTGATTAGCCGTAATACAATTAGATTGTTAGTTAGTTAAAAAGATGCACCATTCTTTTCCTATTTAATTTATGATTAAGCATACTTGTTGAAACAAATGTGAATTAACTATTAAATCAGACAAAATGTATAATTTTAATTAAAATTGTTAGCTCATTTTCTTGACATGCCTTTTAATTTGCAATTTATTAAGATAGGATCTAACACTTAGTACTTAGCATCACACTGAATACAATAGGTAGTATCTATGGAAAAATCGTAGAAAGATTGATATTCATCACTTAAATTTTGTATAAAGTTTTGATGTTTTCTATGGGCAGGCAATACTAATGTAAAGAATTTTACAATCCCTTTGGAATAAGACTACTAAACCCCAATTGAAGGGTCACGCTTTTAATTGTAATGATAGTCACAGTCTTAACGGATTACCATTTCTGAGGATGTAGTTATTGTTGAGAAGCAGGTGAAAATGTAGCTAAATACGTTTCTTGATGCTCGCTTAGGGGGAGCTTCATTAGCATTAATTGTACGATATGTTTACGTTACTTAAGCTATTAATTATTGCAATCTACGGAAGGAAGATAATAAGCATCTTCGCAGCTTAACAAATACTGCGCTTAAATATTTATACAATTCCGCAATTTGCATTTCAATTCTCTCTCACGTGCACATCGCCATTGGAATCTCCGCTGGCATATCATTCGAGTTCCCCGATCGAGCCCGGCTAAGGGTACAGTTACTTGTAACTTACCTCACTGGCCAAAAATAAAGCTGAGCAGAACAAAGCCAGGGTCAAAAGTCGCCAAGGCGTTGGGGTAATTTGCGTTTGTGCCAACATTTCGCCGATTGCTCTCTGTGGGTCCGGGGATTGTTTGGGAGGGGAGGGATCTCACGATGGAGAGCTTAAAACTGAAAGTTATTAATATGTTATTGAATGATCGCTGGTCACAATTGATGGGAAAGTGCAAGCAGGGCATATAAGTTGGCGCTAATTGCCTTACACAATAGCAGCTCGCATCTTAATACCCATTCCTCTCCACCATCCACCCATAGCCGTATAATAGTAATGTGTCTTTTGTTGCCAATCTTTGCGTAACCGACGTCTGCTTACTTTAGTAATAACTTTCCCAAAAATATCTCCTCATAGGTAATCACCCCTGGGTGATAATAATGTATTTACGCGTTCGGTTTTGTTGTCACTACGAAGAGACCAGTAGAAAATTTTCTTCGCCTTCAAGGTGTTTGTTCAATTCAACGCTTTCGTAATGAATTGTAAGTGTAATTTAAAAAACATTAACTTCTGAAGTTGGTGCCGCTTTATTGACTGACAGAATTTGCAACGCTGTCGCTGGCTCTTCCCCCGTTTCTGCCTCGACCTCCACCTACAATTCAATTTTACGACCTTGCCACTTGCCACTCCGCTCCTCGCAAAAAAAAAAAACGACACGTAGTCACACCGATAAAACTGTCAATCGCAGTCGCAAACAAAGCTCCAAAATGGAAATTGCACTTTATGACCGTTTATAGAAACCAAATTGGTCGAAATTGACTTGTCCGGCAAAGGCTCATCAACTTTATGAATATCCGCTCGGGTCAAGAACGTCTTCGATAGGTTTTTAATGGTATTCCGAGTATGGTGAAAAAGAGCTATGCCTAGAACTAATTTGAGCCTTACGAGGTAAACACATTCAAAGTCTCCGAGGTATTTGATTTAATGTTGTTGATATTTACTAACAGCGTCATCACTCTTTTTTGACACAAGTCAAACAAAAGCAACACTGCTATTGTCAATTAGCAGATTAAAAGTCTTTAAGCTGGGAATTTGTTATAAAAAGAGTTGGATTTTTATGTTGCACTAATGTTGTCTAACAATCAAATCGTTTAGGCAATAAACTTTTCTTTTTAAGTCATCCAAATGGATGATGACAAAATTTTTTTTAAAAATAAGTATGTTCGCATTTGCTGATTAAAGGAAATTTGGCATTACTGGGTTGAACATAAAGTTTATTATATGCAACAAATCATTACTTTTTAGTTTTCATTAAAACATATAATGTTGTAGTTATATAACGATTATAGTTATATAGCGATTTCGAAATAAAATAATAATGGGCAATAAACTCTACGATATCAATGCAAAACATGAACGTCTGACACTAAGTAAAGTAACGTTAATATATTCGCTCCGCCATTCAAACTAACATTTAAGTTCAGTTTTGCAATTAAGTTTACGGGTAATTGAAATGATTTTCTTAGAGGCATAAAATGTCTAGCCATATAATGTTGTAGTTGCCCATAGCAGTTTTCGTATTATTAATTAGGGTAACGGGTCTGAGGAACATCATATCGCCGAGCTGCAAAGTTCAATTGCCCAATAAAATCTCATACTTTTCAGCTAACGAGATCATCTGGCTCAATGCTAACCGCAACATTTGTGGCAAGTTGTGGCCAGAAGCCATTGGAGCCGAGTGCGTGTGGCAGCAGCAGTGGCAGCAGGAAAAATGGCCAAAAACCAAAAGCGAACAATACTGAACTGGCATCTAGTTTGGCGGTTTTTCCCTGTCTTGACCTTTTTGACAACGGAAAATATTTACCGCTTTATCCTCCTTGGGTTGAACTCGTGATGCTGGTTGCAGTTTTATTTCTTGGTTGCTTTTTTCGCGGTTTTTTCTTCATTTTTCCTAAGTTGCCTTGTGGCCAGTAAGGCGAAGCCTATTTGACATTTTTGCCAGCCATTTCCACTGAAAGAGCATTGCGAATCTAACTCGAAGATGCTCAAACGGCAAATAATAGCCGAGATGCAGCAACAATTATGCCAATTAGTTGGCATTACAGGTTGATTACGATTACGGCAGGCCCAGGCTCAAGTTATTTTGCCCAGCCATAGTTGGCATTTTTCTAATTGTTTTCGATTGGACCCCCGACTGGATGGAGAAGAGGAAGTTATTAAGATGCAAGCACAAGATCTTAGATGTTGGGCTCGAGATGCCGATGCCGTTTCCGAAGTCGATGCCAACCGATCGGCGGCGGGCTCACCTTCGCCCGCGTCTTCAGTTGACGGAGTATCTTAAATTGTACAAACTAATTGTCGCCGTAGGTGGTGTGCTGAAATATATTCCATATGGTCGCGGACCTCTTCACACATCCGATGCGAGTTGGTGATTCAATGCGATGTGATCTTTGCAAAGATCAAATGTCAGCAGCACTCAGAGTGCATCAAGCTCAGATTGCTAATGCAATTGCATTGGCTTGAAAACAAAGTCAAGAGCAAACGCACACTGCCACCAACCAAATTGGTTCGCATAAATTATTTGCTTTGATACTATATAGACATGCCATCAACACTTTAGCACATCATTTCACAGTCCTTTTCGAATGAAGCGCGCCTATAAAAAGCGTCCAAGTTTGTATCTTGTATCTGAGGGTTCGCAATTCGCCCGGAACGTCACAACCGCTTCGTTCGAAGTCGCGTCTTGAACTGAAGACTCTGAGTGCACCCAGCTCGGTTTAAGATTCCCATTAGGCCGCCCGCTACAGACCAGGTCTCTGCTGGAGAAGCGCTAAGCGGAGCTTCGTCATCGGCGCACAGTGGGCGATGCGCCCACGTGCGTGAGAGAAAATTCTGTTGATTTGTAAAGAAATCTATGCAAATACTTTCAAGTGTGCAAATAAGCTTGCAAAATGATGTAAGTTGGGAATTTAGCAGTGAGTTTAGGTATAAAGCCATATTATTTATAAGGCTGCATAAGCTAGTTCGTTTCATGTCACTGTGCCAAATCTTCTCGGCCAGTTAACGAAGTTCAATCGGGTTTTTTGAGCCCCTCAGCCAGCGAAGCGTTAGCGTTGCAGCTTCATTTTCAGTTTTTCAGCTTTTCAGCTAGATTCTCAGTTTCAATTTACCGTTAACGGCTACGTTTTCATTTTCATTGCACGTTATTAGCATTTGCAATGCCACCGTTTAGGGCAACCCTTCACCCACCGGTGTTTATTTGTCTAATTTATTGGATCGTTTTCGTTACCGCCACTTTGGCAGATGGGTATGCGGGCAAAAGAAGTGGGCTAAATAGAGCAATCGAGCGGGCTAAAAGAGATCTGAGCCAGATTGGGCGCCAAATTGTGAAATCATTTTCCCCATCTCAGTTGCGCTCGATTCGGCTGGCTTTTTTGGCGGCATCGTTGTCAGATTTCTGGCGGCTGGGTTTTGTAAGCGAAGATTTCCATTTTCCATTTTCCATTTTCATCTTCGTTTTTCGATTCAAGTCGTTTATTTACTCCTCAAAGCCCTTTTGTCGCGGAAAAGCCAAAAAACAGGCAAGAAGGTTTGCTGCACTCAGGTTTTCATCGCAGTCGTGTGTTGCCCCATTGAGTTGCTGGGTCTTCATTTTCGCTGGGCGTTGGGTTTCGCCCGTCCATTCCCCTTTTCCCCTCCCCCTTCACCATTTTCCCTATTTTAGCCATTTTCATTTTCGTGATGGACCTGGGAGGAAGTTAAAGTCGCGACTGTCGAGAGTCAATCGATGGTTTATTGATTGTTTTGTTTTGCTGCTGTCAAAAATAAAGAAAATAACACATATATAAACGTAGCGTAGCCGTTAGAACCTGGAATTTAGTTAGTTATCTCCTGGGTATCTGGGACTAGCCTATGTGGATCTGGGGGCACTCGGCCCTTCCTGGATCCCCGGCTTCAGCTCCTGGTTCTTCATGTCCAGCGAATGCTGCTGGAAATCAGACAGAATGCGGCTCTCAGGGATGTCCGTCTCCACGCGGCTGCCCACAATGTCTATCTCGCTATCCTTCTTATCGAAAAAAATGTCGATAATAATGCGCACACCTGGGGGATGAAATATTAGTAATTTTCTTAAAGTAATACCCAATGAATTCGCGAATATATGAATGAATGAATATAACAACTTCGAATAATTGTTAAGCCGAAAGCGGAAAGGTATATACAAGTTACTAAAATTAAACTTGTTTTTGTTGCCAACCTTATTGCTGTTTTTACTTACATACCAATTTTAGCTGGACATGAATACTTAATATCTTTTATGTAAATCATTTTTAAGATAACCCACCTTGTTGAGTGTGTCGAATGGTGGTTTTGCTTTGGTAGGACCTTTCTACTGTATTGGGATCAGCCGAAAGTTCATCATTGACCGGCTGGAAGAGGGCAGACTCCTTGGCCACTCCAAGGTTACCCTCACTGTAGTTAGATTGACTGGTTAGTGGAGAAAGTATAAGAGCCGTGGCTAAGCTCTCACTTTTCTCTTTCTTTATCCTCCGACAGGGACATGTTGCAATGGCTGCTTCCGCCCTCCAGATCCGTCCTCTGTTCTTCCTCCGACTTGGACATGGAGCCAAAGAAAAGGGACTTGGCCATCTCGAGTTCCTGGTTCTTCTGAGTGGCAAAGTTATAAAGGTTGATCATGTCACGCACCCGGATGGGCGTGTCCACCCGCTTGCGGCCCCCTGTCTGCGGTGTCACCGGTGTCTGGAGTTGGGATGGGATCTGGAGCTCCTGGTCCCGATCGATCTCTGCATTCTTGTTTGAGTTGTAGGAGATGTTACTGCAGTCGTCCTCATGGTTGATGTTGGTGTTCATGGTGTTGGCGCTTGAAAGTTCCTAGCTCTCCCTAAACAAAAGTACTCACTAAAACTGCGTCGAAAGTTTCTAGGTGAATTCAAGACTTCCGATTTTTTAGTTGTTCGAAAAGTTCTGATAACCTCCCGTGTATGTGGGAAAGTAGTAACTGACTCAAAATTCGTTTCAAACAATGTCACTTAAATATGACCTTTACCTCAAGGAGATCTTTGGATCGTGATGTACATGTGTACATATGTGTAATACATCATGTGGGTTCCTGCCTGCAATTCGTTAGCCATTACAGTAACGAAATGTAAATGTAATTCATCTTCGAGCTGCCGAAGACGAATCGATGGAGGGCGACCTTCAGTGCGGCAATCGAAACCGAATTCGATCGATCGGATGATTGATCCCACAGAGGGGGCAGTGATTGAGGAAGGTTCGGTGATTAGTGAAATTTGAGCCACACGCTGAATGCCAATGGAATTGTCTTAGAGCGGATTTAATGCAAGCTTTTTTACTCATATTTTCCCCATTTTTTCGTGTATCAGTGTGTGCGTTATTAATATTTTGAAATTGGGTGAGCAATGACTTGCCGATGCCACAGAAGCAGCATTACCGTACCAGCAGTATCATCACTCGGTAGCTTGCCAGCAGACAGCTGGAGGTCCATTTGACACACCATCCCTACCAAAAAAAAAAATCCAATTTTAAGGTCAATCTTAGCGCCAACAACACTCGACCACAGCTCAAGAGTCGCAATCAGCGTTGATGGCGCGAGCAAGGTTTGCGGCCCAAAAATGCAAAGCTCTTATTTAAATTGTATGTAACGGGAGCCAAATCAAACCATTGATGAGTTTTATTGTCACGTGTAGTTAAAATAAACATTTGTTGCGCAGTATTTCTACTTAGTAGTTACCTTATACAAAGAAAATTGTGTTGACCAACGTTGAGTACAAATACACTAATCCGAAATTCATGAGGTAGCGCCCTGTGCTTAGAGTGCAGATGTTAAGAGAATTGCGCCAGAACCATTTAGAGGTATGCCACTTCAAAATCCGAATATTTCTTAATTTTTTTAATTTCTTCAACATCAAAACAATTAGAAAATGTGGCCGTGGCCGTTTTGTGCGGTTTATGGGCGTTAGAGTGGGCGTGGCATCATTTGAATGAACTTGCGCTGCGTCTATATCTCTGGAAGCTGCATGCTTCATCTCAACATTCTAGCTGTTGTAGTTCCTAAGATCGAGGCGTTCTATGGACAGACGGACGGACAGTCGGACATGGCCAGTCCGACTCGGCTATTGATCCTTGTCAAGAATATAATATATATACCTTATATGGTCGGAAACGCTTCCTTCTGCCTGTTACACGCTTTTCAACGAATCTAGTATACCCTTTTACTCTACGAGTAACGGGAATAAAGAACTATGATTATTTTGATGTAGTTTTTATTAGGCATCCCAGCTCTACTAAAAGTGAAATTCCAAAAGCTTTATTCACGCGTTCACTGAATTACATTGAGTAATAAATTAACACGAATATAAGTTCCCAAACTATTAAGACAACAATTTTAATAACAACTAAAGTTCGCAGCGCAGACGTTTGCAAGACATTTTGACTAATGAGCCGCCAAAAATTAATTCGAAGTCGGTGTGGGAGTTCTGGGTCCCTGTGATCGACATTCTTTGACTTTTAATTCTTACATATCACGAACTTGGAATTCGATTCAAGCTGCCCTGCTCTTCTCGTTTGTGCAATTAGCCGCGATGTCAAAGGGGTTCACGCCAGTCATGGCAAAAAGAACAGTGAGAAGGTGTGGGACCCACAGCAGAATTTACACACCAAAATACGTATGTACATAGGTGTGTCATCATCATCATCTCGGGCTGTGATTCCATTGAAGGTCGGTGAGCCTCTATAGCGGCTACAAACATTTGTATCTGCCATTTATGCTCACTGAATCTTCTCTGTTTCAGTTTCTGTCTCTCTCTCCCTGTCTATGTTTGGTTTGAAAACCCCCTGCTTTCCACCCACTCGGGGTCGACTACACATGTTTAATTGCCAAATTGGTGCAATTCCACATAATTCATGCCAATAGTCGGAGTCGTTACTCAGGCAGTTCTCCTCTCGCAGAGCTGATTATTTGACAAGGTCCCCGGTTTTCGGTTCCAGTGAAGAGGTTTACGACTGAGCAAATAAAGGCAGCCCGTGGGGGCAGATTCACACGTTTATTAGGAGTTTATTCGTCGTGCTGCGAATTGAAATCGAAAGTGGAGCGGCTTAGCGCCTATAATTGATAACAGGCTAGTCATATGGAAACTATTGCGTATACGCAAAGGCACAACGCAAAGTGCCAAGAGGAAAGGTAAACACCTCTGCTCCAAACGACCAAAGAAGTAACTCGAATGATAGCCGCATCCGGTGGTCACAAGCAATGTGGAAAAATGGTCAGCTAGCTGCTAGTTGCTACAAATTTGTCAAACCAACAATGCAGCAAGGTCAGCGGAGTTCGCAGAGTCCACTGAGCGATGATGATCACGTTCGCGTCCGGCGTGCGGTCAGCTCTGCCATATCATTGACCTTAAGTGACGAACATCAAGAGCAATGAATAAGCCAAGATTATCACCTTTGCCAGCATTTTATTGCACTTACACAGGCAGCCGCCAAAATCGGATTTGAAGTTCAATTGCAGGCATTTCTGATGCTCGATGGTCCAGCTTCCTCGACTCCACTCGATCTCCAATTCGATCTCTATCTGCGACGGACCTACCAAGACGCCCATGGCACAATGTACAGCACGACTATTAAAGGTCATGCTTCAAAGCCAGCAGTGCAAGCAGCATCGGCAGCACACAGATGAAACAAAAAAAAATTAAAAAAACGTTAAGTAAATCAAAGTAAACAAACGGCGCACTTTGTTAATTGTTGAATTTATTTATATTTCGGTTCGAGTTTCTTTTTCTGCTCTGGCTGCAATCTATTAGAGAATGATCTCAAAATACGCGTCAATCGAAAGACTCAAGACACGAACTGGCCACCAAACAATAAAATGACCGCAACGACCATAGTTACCAAGCAGTATATTTGAATAGTTATACACGCTAACAAAGGGGGGGATTGTTATTGGGTCGGCTATCTTAAATCATATTGACACTTTGGGCGCCTCTTCAAATTTCCCAAGCAGAGCATGAACATCGGCAATTTGTTGGCCAACTGCCATTCACTTGCTGCCTCGACTTCGGTCAGGGGTTGTTCTGAAATGCCAAAAAGGTAGCACACACAACTATTGTTACCCATTGCGGCAGGTAAACACCATAACCGCGACCTTCACTTGGCAATGGAGGAGGAGCAGCTCCTAGCCTCAGGTTGCCCGGAGGGCACACAACAAATCCAAGTCAAGTGCTCGGCAGCCTCTTCAACAATGAAGCCATCAGATCGAGAAATGTCTTCAATGTGAATTTGGTTCAATGGTTCAATTGTATCGCACATAGGAACTGGTGTGAGTGATTAATTGGTTTGCTTTCGAGGCCCAAAACACAAAACACACACTGGATGTGTTTGGTCTTGGGATAATGCGAATGAGTATGGCTGCAGAATAATTCATTTAATATCGAGCGTAAACAACGCAGCCCACATCGGATTGCTTGGTATTCAAGTCGAGTTTGGGGCGCTCCCGCTTCGCCAGATGATTATGCCTTTGTACTTCTTATTTAGTCTTTAAATCTGCACCCAGCATCTGATGAATGCTTTCCATTATCCATATTGCCAGGAAAATATGATTGTTAGGTGTCAATCAAAACTTTTGTGTGTCGCGTGTGTGTGCCACGTTGTCGTCGTCAATTAAAGACAGAAAAGTCTCCAATTAACTTTGGAGATGGTAATGGCTTGCGGTTGAATGGCAATTGCTCCATGGAAAATGGTGATTTACTATTGTTGCGCCTTGGAAAACTAAGTGCTTACAGATCGCGGTGAAGTCAGACATCTATTTAATAAACGAAATACATTGAAGGAAGCCCTAGTTTACGTAACCGATTACCAATTATTGAAAGCTTCATACTTTTAGTAAAAGTTTGCATTAGTACCTGATTACAGGTTGTAAAACCTTTCCTTACCAAAATTTAATATTTAAGACATGCCACCTTACTCAAAAAGCTGATTTTCTCTGACTTTAAATATATAATTTCCGTTGTTTCATTTACACATTGCTCATGTGAGCAATGCAAATCCTGCAACTGGAATAACAATATTTTATACTTCATTTCCACTGTCATTTATTTTTGTTACCAGACTTTCGTGGCATATTTTTGGGGCTATTTTGTTTATGCCATATTTGTAGCATACTCATAGGCAAAATTAGCAAGGGCTCCGGCCTTTTCAAATGTACGGTTTTTGAAGGAAAATCTATTGGTATCTATTCCGATTGACGTATGTAGTTTAGGTGTACCTAAATCTGAAAGAAAACATATTTTAAAGGATGTTGAATGAAAGCCCATTAAGTAATTCGATTATTTTCTAGATTTATTTCGCTCTGATTGTTTTTGATAGGCGCGCTTTACGTGCACTCGGGATTCTTTTATAAATTTATAATTGAGATTTTATTAAATGTTTCGTTTATTAGCTGACAGATTATCTACAATTTAAATATATATTTTTTGAATCATAATCAATTATCAATGTTCAAGCTGTAATGTTGGATAGCTCATACATTGCTGGTTACCAATAGTCGGTAGTACAGACTACCTACAGTAATGCCTGCCGAATTGCAAAATATTTATACCATCAAGGGGTATCTCATGATATTTCTTTAGTTTATAAGTAAATGTTTTTATGCGGGCGACTAGAAATTCCAAGAAAACTTTAAACATACAATACAATAGATGTATGCGGATATATACGCTTACGGATTAATTTAATTACTTGCTAAACGATAGGAATCATGAAAATTACTTTATCTTGCATTACTCGTTACGTCTAAAGTTCAATTAAATATGGATACAAGCATCTGTTATTCACTTAAATGCTACTTAAGCACTCTTAATCGCAACTGTTTAGGCATTTATTTCTCACTCGGATCGCGAGTGTAACTAAAATGTAACTAAAGTTTGGCGCAACAAACCGAAGCCAATTGGATGGATCGTATTATGCTAAAACGATAAGTATAAGTTAGAGAAATCTTTGGTTGTAACTACAACTGAAATTGAATGTCGAAGCTAACCGCCATCTACCCATGGTTGCTTGGGATCAACGGGGGTATTGGCTTCGTAACTTTGTGCTGGTTAAGGTTGCAGTACCCATACCCGATTCCCTGGAAGATTGGATACGGCTAATACGGCTGTCATGGATTTGTTGATCGGCAAACCTAGTGTCACATACAATACAATGTATCTATAAATTATCACAGTAAAATAAATAGAAATTATTTCTGCTGCGGCTGCTGCAGTTTTCTGAGAATCAACCAAGGAGTGGGTGGACGAATGGCGTGCGCTGGCTATATCCATTCGTAGCTGGTTCAGATTATGGAAGATACGATAGTCATAGTCCACATTTTGGCAAAACTGTTGAACGGTTCCCTTCCTCCCTTCCTCGCTTTCTCGCTTCCTCGCTTCCTCTCTGCACCACTCACTGGTTCAGTAGCGTGTTGGTCACCTCGGAGAACGAGAGCAGCGGACTGCCGTCGGCATACGTGCCCCCAGCCGTGGGCGGGGCATAAGCGAGCGCTGTGTGCGCCGTAATGTTCGCCGGATAGAGCAGCTGATGGTGCGGATGATGCTGCGAGTGGTGATGTTGCTGCTGGTAAATTGCATGTTGCTGCTGTTGCAGCGACTGTTGCTGCTGCAGGTGCTGCAGGGACTGTTGCTGCTTGGATGACTTGCGGCCAATGCTGCTGACGCCGCCACCCACCTCCTCGGCGCAGATCACCAGTGGAGCGGACACAATGGCCAACTGCTGGTACGGAACATCCGATGCTCCTCCTGCTGAAGCCGATCCATTCAGCAAGCTGCTGACCGCTGGCAAGGCGGTGGGCGAGCGGGATAATGCGACTGGCGGCGGCGGCGGTGATCCTGATCCGACTCCCACCAGCTGGTGGTGCAGCGGGTAGCCAGCTAGCGATTGCTGCTGCTGCTGCTGCTGCTGCGACTGTTGCTGATGATGGGTGGTGAGAATGATCTAGGGAGGATCGTTATGGTTAGTAGTCAGGCGAGAGAGCACACATGGGTGCACTGAAGTGGGTTTCTATTGGTATCAGAAGAAGGTGATTGGTTGTGGGTGAGTACATAGAGTGCGGGTGCTTCATTACTGGTGCAATCTATTCATCTTCTAGCGGTGGCCGTGGTGCAGGTGATGCGACTGGGCCGGAACATGGCCACCGCCGCCAGCCGACGGATGGTGCGGGTGCGGATGCGGATGATGGTACGTAAAGTACTGCGAGTACTGCGTGTAGGAGGCGGGCGTCCATACCTCGCTGCTGTGCTGATGCGCCGTCTCATGGTGATGGTGATGATGGTGGTGATGATGCGAGTGCGGATGCGGGTGGGCGTGATGGTGTTGTTGCTGCTGCTGCTGCTGTTGTTGGTGGCAACTGGATGGGTGCACCGCCTGCTGATCTGTGCCCGTGCTGGTGAGTGAGCTGCTAGGAGCGCTAACATTGGAACCAACTCCTCGCTGAGATTGTTGGAGCTGCTGCTGCTGTTGTTGTTGCTGCTGCTGCTGCTGCGGAGAGGTTGTGTGCGAGGAAGCGGAGTAAAGGCCAGAGTCATCGTGCTGCATCTGGTAGCTCTCCGGCGTACTGGCGCTGCCCGACTTGCCCGGCAGCTCCTTTGTCCCGTTCCACTTGGCGGCCGTTGCAGGTTCATGATCGTTGTTGTTATTATTGGCGCTAGCGTAGCCCAATCCGTTGGCCAGAGGAGTGGATCGCTGTGGTGAGCCAGGGTTTCCCGCTACACTTCTCCCGCCATGAAGGCTATTTAGCGGTACCCCACTCGAGTGCGTGGTGCCCCACATCAGCACCGTTTGACGCTCGTAGGGATCCTGACCCACTGCTGCTGCCGCCGTTGTTGCGGCCAACTCTACTTTCGGCGTAACGCTTCCGACTCCGTTGGGGGTGGCTCCGCCCACGGGTGATGGCCCGTCCGAGGAGCAAGATATCACCTCCATCACCTGGGGTGAAGACTTCGGCGTCTTAAGGGGAATTTGCTGTAAGAGAATACCGTATTAGTGATGGTTAGAATTCCGTCCTTTGACACAGAACTAAGAGTATTTGTCGGTCATAGTAATGCTACTGACTTTTCTTACCTGTGGCGTAGATGTTGGACTTCCATAGCCACTGCTGTAGCCACTGTAGTACTTTCCAGTCTCTTGCCACTTCTCGTCCGCTTTGGAGGCTATGGCGTATCCGTCGTAAGAGAGGAATCCATTAGCTACGTAAGCTGAGGCTGGAGCGCCGGAGTGCGGATAATCCGTGTAATAGCCACCGACGGCGCCCTGCAGCCGGTACTGATGGAAGAGGTTCTCGCTGACTGGGTAGAAGGCGTTGGCCGGCATGGAGCTGCCCATGTAGAGATTGTCCGCTGCACTGGCATACGGCGATGTTGTGTACATGGGATTCAGGTTGGAGTAGGCAGCGGCCACTGCAGCTGCCGGATCGGGCAAGTACTCCACGGCCACAGCCGGAGCAGGGGATCCCACCTGGCCACCGAGGGGCGAGGTTTGCTGCGTCTGCGGTTGATTCTGCTGCTGCTGCAGCTTGCGTTTGCTGCGGCAGGTGGAGAGGAAGTCGCGCAACTGCGTCTTGTAGCGGCGATTTGGACGCGTTGGCGTCACCGGAGGCGGCAGGGCGTGGGCCGTGGGAGAGGTGCTCGGCGGCACTACCAGCTGGTCCGCCTCGGAGAAGTAGGTGGACGCCAGTCCCGTGTCCAGGTAGCTGACCTTGAAGTCCATGGTGCGCTTGCCCAGCAGATCGTGGCCCTCCTCGTCCATCAGCTGCCGGTGCGTACAGATCACAAAGTCCGGCTTGGAGTTCTTGTAGACCAGGCGTGAGCTCGTCTGCAGCCACTGCCACTCGCCATCCTTCTTTTGGTAACGGTAGGCTATCATGCCGGAAGCACCCGTCTTCAGAACTATAGACAATCGGAAAACAAAACATAAGCTCAGTTTCTTGTATTCAGAACTGTAGGCACAATTGTATACTTACGCTCCTGATGGGCGCTGGCCACATAGGCCAGGTCATCGTAGTGCACCAGATCGTAGCCACCCATGTTGACCAACTCGGCGTCCGCGTAGCCCAGGATGTGCTTGCCGCGCTGGTCCATTGATACCAGGGAGAAGTCCAGCTTGTGCTTGGACTTGAACATGTTCTCCTTGTGCGGGATCTCCAGCAGGCTGGGCGGCCCAAAGGGCGTGCAGTAGGCGAAGAGGGCCAGCGGAGGCTCCTCCGTCTTGCGGTTCTGGCCATGCAGGACCTTGATGCGGCCGCGGATGTCCAGGCGCAGGAAGCCGCTCGTGTTGTCCAGCAGGCAGCGGAAGCGGACGGTGAAGCTGCGCTCCAGGTAAAGCGCCTTGTCCGGCGCCAGGGTCTCCGCCAGCTGCATGCTGGACATGTCGGCGGGCAGGAAACTGTTCCACAGCAGCTGGCGCTGCAGCTCCTCGCGGTCCTCCGAGTGCACCAGTTCGTACACCGACTGGTGGACGATGTCCGACTGTGGAGTATTGATATATTGATATATTGGTTAGGGGTCAGTCACCTGGGGATTCTTATTGATACAGCTCTCACTCTCACTCCGCTTCTCATGCGCTCTCTTATTCGCCCGGGGTTTTCGGGGCGTATAAATCAAAATGCGCGCAAATTGAAAATGCGCCCCATGTTGGCCACAAATTGAGACATAAATTCTGCACGCGCCAGGAGCAGGAAGATTCGCCTGTCGGGGGCTACAAGGGATTCTCCCCGTCCCTCCCATTCAGCCGGCTTTTTGCTGCGAACAGCAGAAAAGCAAACAAACCCAACTGATTTTCTCGAACGTTAAGCCGGGCTACGCTTTTAATTGAGCTGCCAAACGGGGCGTGGCAAGTGCCGCTTTACACATTTACAACTAAATTTGAAAAAAAAAAAAAAAACGAAATGAAATGAAAAAAAGAGAAAACAAACTCGGGCGGATGCTAACTACAATTTCAATTTCCATTCGACAATAAAGTAGGCAAAAAACTACAATGAAGGTGTACCCCAAACATGCTGCCGAAGGAGCCCGAATTCAAATCGGAGTGCCCGCATCGGAATCAATCTGGCCACGCCCCGCTACTGCAGCTGCGGCTGCGGCTTCAAGGGGAGATTCCCAGCGATTGCGCAATCTGATTTTAATTTACGATCTGTCGGTTCCGCGAATCGATTCAGGTCCGTACCTTCTGAGCATGGCCAGCTCAGACAACTTGGCCGAGGACCAAAAGCCCCAATTGGGGCCTTGGATTTGGGTCAGACTAAACGACAATCAGGATTATCTCTTTACATGAACCTGTAAATGTTTTCCTTCTTCTTGTACTGATTTTATTTTAAGGGAATCATAAAATGTTCATGTGAAATATCCCATTAAGCCGATACGTTTTACAAAGGCCAATAGGAAACTACATTTTTAGATGGGGGTAATAATTTCTATTTTAGTCCCCCCGAGATTCTGGGCCAAAGTGTTTTCCTTTCTCGGACCGCTTCCGCAATTCAGAGATTGACCCAAAAAACAGACGGACAGGGGCTTGTATGAAAACCGTCGGCAATTAAAATCAATCAAAAAAGCGGGGCGAAGGGAGCGCATAGTCTGAGGGGCCAGAGACTGGTGGCACTTACCTGATGAAAACCCAAATAGCTCTCGATGCTGTGCGTGGCAAAGAAGACTTCGCCTTCGCATGTCAGTATCATTAGAAATCCATTTAGGGCCTGCAAAGAAATCCAAAGAGAAATGGTCGACGGGTCAAAATTAAATCAAAACTATGAATTAAATATATGTTTCTTTTTTTGGTTGACTCAGACAAGTGGATAGATCCAAGAATCAATAGCCAAATGAATGAATCTTGGAGATGATATGTGATGGGTTGGCAAAGGTGTAATTACAGTAGCTGCCACGGCTCGTCATATTTGGTGAATGAAATGTTATTGATCGAGGCAGCCGGAGGCATTTCGATACACTGGAAGAAAATTGTTTTATATAAATTCTTAAGCTAATAATGTGTGAAAAATTAGCATTTCCAGTAGAGTAAGCCATATAGTAACTACAGGCACATCTATTTCTTTACAAGGTTCCTTGACTTTTAGGTTAGAATAGCATAGTGTTACAATATTATTCTCAGCGTTCTTCCTTTGACCTGCGCAGGTTCCGCCCCTTGGAATGAACTCTGTTTTGACCACATCAGGAGCTGCTTGAATGGGAGCCACGATGGCGGCGCTTAGTTGCGGCCAAAGTGTAATCAGTGCCTAAGCGGCTCATTTCATCCAAGACGATCCCAGTCGGATCTGGAGTTCCACATCAAACACAACCAGGAAATGGCTTGCAATTAAATCAATGAGTTTCAACTGAACCGAGCGAGAGAGAGAGTGAGACAGGGGAGAGGGAAGGGCGGTGGATTTTGGTGTAATTGCAGGTTTCCATTCCAGTTGCCTCCCTCCCATCAAAATCCCCAGATGAGCCATTGTCATTATCTATTCGGATATGCGCCTTCAAAGACTTCGCGCTGCTAACAAGAAAATGAAATGTGAAGTAAAAAGCAGCATGAAAATCATGCAAAAGTTTTTAACACAACGCTTCATTGTTTTGTTTATTATTTGGCGCATTATTGTTTTTGATTGCATTTTAAAGTCGGGTTTTATGGGCTGCTAATGGCGGCGACGCATGCGATTCTCGCCCGATCTCGACTGGAACTAACCTAACCGTTATTTAGCCGGCCCAATCCGTTCGAGCGACGTGTGAAGTGAAAATGAGAAGGAAAACTGAACTGAAACTGAACTGAAACTGAACCGCTGGCCGCTGGCCGCTCGGAAAGACAAATTTGCCAATGCTCCATTAGTGCCACCGTGGCGGTGCGGTCGTAATTAATATAACCGAACTGAAAAAACTGCAAGAAACAACACCGCACATACAACAAATACTGCGCGTAATTAATACGGGCGTATTTAAATATCAATTTGCAGCCACCATATCGAGCTGCGTACATCGAAAGGAAGCAGTCCCCCATTTTGAGTCGGAGAAAAATGTGCGCGATTGCTGCTAATTACAGAGCAGCAGCAGCAGCAGCAGCAGCAGCAGCAGGTTGCAGGACTGAGCTCCGGGGAGCCGAGGGATCTGGGATCTGGGATCTGGGACCTGGGATCTAGAATCTGGAGTCTGGAGTCTGGAATCTGGCCGGAGATCGGGCCAAGCAGCGGGTAACTTAGCCACTCCTTGCGAGAGTTGGCATTAGCCGACATAAATGCTAAGTGGCGTCATCATTTAAAACGCATCAACAGCCCGCAAGGATGTGGTGCTGCCATGGCATACATATAGATGCAGCATGGATTGTCATCAGGCCACGCGGACTGCTCGGGCATCAATAATCGTCAAAAAGATCTCCAACGGTAGCCAGCGAGCGAAAAGATATGGATGCAGTAGGGTTACTTAGATGGCGAATACTCTATTCCATGTATAGCCATGTATAGTGCCAAGTGGGTGGAAGAACTTGGTGTCCCTTCTTCCCAAACTCCAAGCTCTAGTTCTTTAGCTTTGCGCTGGGTCAAGGGTCCCCTGTGAGCTCTTTTAAAAAGGAGCCTAGAAAGTGTTTGCCTTTTTAATATTTTTCATTGAATAAAAATTATAGAGTCTAGTTTCATAAAGGGTATCTAAAATGTTGAATACAGGTCCTGTTAGCTGGTTGTTCGTTTCTGCTGCTTAACCATTTTGCTTGTGCTCTTCTCTTTTCATTTCTTGCGGCATTTTACCTTTTTATACGGCCAAGAAAGATTTCTCCCCACAGTCTAATTGTTTCTGCGCCCCATCCCTTTCCCACCTGACGGCACATCGAGGCCTCTCTGTTGCTCCCGCAGCTACAATTTAGACAAGCTCGTCTGCGGCGTCTTCTAATGCGATTTTAATAATACCCGCCCGTCTTTATAGTGGAGGATCCGGAGTGTAGAGGCTGTGCGAGGGCATATGGGCATGTGTGTGTGTGGGCAAATCTGGCATTTCTGATGTGAGATTTGATAAGTTGGCGGCGATTATTTTATCATTTCCTAGGCAGATGCAGGAAAGACTTTTGAAGGGCGGGGTTCGTTCAGAGGAGGAAGGAGGGAGGAGGAGCCTTTCTAGTTTGGCCAATTTGCCCAAGCTTGTCTAGATAATTGCTTAATAAAGCCCACCCCCAGCGGCAGAGGCAAAACCATCGCCAGGTGCCTCGCCAGTTAATATCTTTGGCGGATCTGCCACCAAACCCTGTTGCATGGAAAGTTCAGTTCATATCATGTTGGCAAGCAAAGTGTTGAAAGTGTTTTACTTTCAGTGAAAACGGAAGACAATTAAATGTTGCGCCAGTGTGTGTGTGTGTATGTGTGTGTTAGCCCTCAACTAAGCTGCGTGACAAAATGCCATTTTCTAATGATAATATGTGACCCATAATAAACAGCAACGGCAACAGCAACAGCAACAGCAACAGCTGCAGCAAAAAGTAAAACTTCGCGGGCAACAGGTAACAAATACCCGAGGTATTAAAACTAAATATGCACACCTCATGACGGCCCCCTTTTTGGCCAAAAGGACTCTTTCGTTGTGAGACAGTCTGAAAATATGCACGGAAATGCACAATTGTGCAGTTTTGAGCTCGACAATTAGCTGCAGCCAGGAAAAGGGTGGTGCAGTCGAGTTCTTTTTTTGGCTTGCATTCAAATTCGCCACTCACTCGCGGGCCACCCTGCGTATACGTAATGCAGCCTAACACGAAACTGCAACGTGCATTGCCCCACTTGTGCCGCATACATGCCGCATTTGTATATGTGGTGCATACCGCGCACTCGGGCGGGTGGTTACTTTGGTGGACTTTGACATTGAATTGTGTGTGTGGAGTGCAGCCGAAAAAAGCGGCATGTGCGATAAAAAAGGAGGTTGTTGCCGCTGCAAGTGCATGTTGCACAATTGCGTGTGTCTGTCTGGGCGGAGTGATGGGCGGTGGAGTGGTAGAGTGGTAGAGTGGTGCTGTGGGGGTCAGGGGGTCAGGGGGCAGTGCCAGCTGTGGCAGCACCACTCGCCCGGTGGCCGGCTGCTCCAATGCCCGGTGAGCTATGTGCGCATTAAATTAAACTGTCATGACTGTGACAAGTGCATATGTTGGCGCCTCGGACAGTGCAAGAAGCAAATACACACTGAGGCACACATGCACTTTTAATTCAGCAAAAACATGCAACTTCCCCAAGGCGGCGACTATGGAGTGCAGCGGCAGAGGGGGGGCAGTGTGCTGTGCGACAATTTAATTGGAGTATTTTGGCACATAAACTTGAAATGCATAATTTTGTATGTGTGCTCCACTTCGGTGCAGCTGTTGCACTTCAACATGATAGCTGCTAATTAATTGTACTGAATTCGTAAATCAAAAGTTGTTATTATTGTGTATGCATACTAGGTCTTGAAAATGCTCAAATTAAGTTATTGATTTTGTGTCTATTTTATTTCTATTCAAATATACAAGTAAGAATTGAAAATAATTTGAGCAACTTATACGACGAACATTTCATTTCCTTAAATTGATCTGCTTTCCCGGTTAGTGCATAACCAATTTTCAATTAGGTTAATCAATTCCAGAACTTATTAATTGCAGACAATTACAAATGACAGAATATGTGGGGAAGTGGATTTTCCCAGACCATCACCACCGACTGTCGATTGCGTGCCCAGTATTTATCAATGGAAACTCTCTCGGCTCTCGGCTCTCGGCTAACAAGACGCTGATTGATTACCCCCCTTTACCCCCTTCCAGTCGGCAAAATACACCACGTATCCTGGCCAATAAAGCCATCAAACAAAACACTGATGAAGACAAATCGGAGCGATTGAGAGGAGTTGATGGGGGAGGGGTTCTTTCAGCTGGACTCGGGACTCACCTGGAGGAACATATCACCATCCAACAGGCCGTGCTCGAAGGCGCCCAGTTCTCGTGTCCTGTAGCCTTCATGTGCGTGTATGTGGGGCAGGACTCCGTTATCCTCCTTATCCTTATGCATAACAACTGCAAGTCGAGAAGTAGAGAGAAATATACATTTAACAAACGTCAGCATTCTTGGGTATTTTATTAACCATAAATATTTGATATTCACTTAAAAGACTGAATAATTTCGAGGAAATTGCTTGGCCATAAATAAGCCACTCAATTGTTTTACAAAGCCACCTTCCTCGAGGAGGAGACGGGCTGGCATAACCATAGTAACTTCATAAAAACCCAATATATCATAGATATATACAGTGATGGGTATGTGTGCCTGTCTCAGCTCCCCGAAAATTCTCGTACAATAAATATTTACGGCTTTGGCAAAGTACTAAAAATTGTTTATGGTGTCATTGTAATATTTTATGAGAACTTTCGCCCCCTTTGGACCCCCACTCCCTTGAATCCTAGAACTATTCACCCCTAGGACCGAAGACTAGGTCGCCATTTTGCCTAGGCAAATTTCACTTTATTTTCCCCCATCCCCCATCCCCCATTGTTTATTTATTTCTTGGCGGCGGAGTTTTATTTTGTGGGAGCCGAGCGGGTTTTTATAATAAATTTGTCACAAGAATTGATTTATGTGCGATAAACGATAAAAGAAATGAAACTTCATATATTTTCACAATATTAGTAAAATGTTTTCGGCCGAGGAGTTCATTTCGGGAAGAGGGTGGTTAAGCTAAGAGTGTTGTCCTGGCCAAAACTTATGCCACGCCAGCTGATGTCATAAATTATGATTTTTATCAACGCAAATGGGTGAAATAAAAAATGTTGAAGAGAAATAAAACAGCGGCTTAAATAAAAACAAGGCAAAATTAATTTACGCATGGCAAGCCTCGACGAAAATTTCCCCCGAACTTTCACCCATGTGCAACCCCTAAGCACGGGAAAAAAACTCTTGGAGTTGGCTTCAATTTCAATTAGCAGGTTAGCATTCCAAGCCCCACTCCACTCCAAGCACACTTCCAACCACATTTTGCTGGCCAGGCTGACCAGGCTGACCAGGCTGACCGCAAACTGGACCTGCTTGTCGCCTGACTTTAATCTCGGCCTTTTTGACCTTTTTATCAAATTAACAAAAGTGACTCGCTCCCACTCAGGAGAAAGATTGTTCATTTTAGCGAGAGTGCGATAAAACAAATAGAGGCCCTCCCTCCTTCGCCTAATGTGGCCCAAACAAATTGCATCATGTGCGTGTAATCCTGGCGTGATCCTTTACAGCCACTTGGCCTAGGACGTGGTCGTAATTATTCATAATTTAATTAGGCTCAGTTTACATTCAGTTCGTAGCTTGTCGCTGCTTTTTATTATTTCTGGTGGAATATTTTAATTTTTTTGTACGTGCATAAACTCATTTAATTAATTTCTGCTAGGCGGTTGGAGAGACTTGGGTTGGGTTAGCCTGGGCTCGCTTTCCCATCCGGTGTTTCGGGTTACAAAATCTGTCATGGCGCCCTTTATTGCACTTACATTGTATTATTACATGGCGTATAAACCAAATTTACGACAAATTCTCCACATTTTCCGCAGCTCTTTTCCCCCATTTTCTCTGTGCCGGCGCTTCCATCTTTCAAAGGACCCACCCCCTAGAGTCGTTAAACAAACGGACGACCATCCACCGTGAACCGCCGGCGGTGGATGAAAATCTTGTGCTGCGAACGACCGGAAAAGCGCAAAATCTCGGCTATCAGGGTGGGGCATGCAGGTCACAAACTCTCCGCAACGCTCGATGATGTACACACATAAAAATGGCGGCGTTGGAAAACCCCACCCAAATGGCCAAAGAGAAAAGCCAGACAGAGAGAAAGACCAATGTGAAAACAAGTTGGGAAAAGGCAGAGGAAAAGCGTGCGCAGCGAGCGAAGAAGACCTGAAAGATTCTCGCCCTAATGACGTTGCACTGACGGGACGGCACCTCCAACTCTCGGACATTTTCCCCGCTTTTCCTCCGCTTTTCCTCCTCTTTTCCAAAGGTGGCGTCAATTATGCTTAGGCTGGAGCTGGAGATGGAGCTGGAACTGGGCGTGTCCGGAGCTGGTGGCACGGCTTGGCGCAGAATAATAAATAAAGTTTAAATTTTCTGACATTTTGGCAAACATTTTCCGTGCCGACAGAAGCAAATATGTCATGGAAATGTCAAACTCATCAGCGGCTTTGATTGGAAAACTGACAGCCACGGTGTTGGTAGTACATATGTATATCCCTAGGTATCCAAAACCATCCACCCAGAGCATCAGCAGCGGCACCACCAGCAACCATTGGCAGCTGTCCGGAGTGACAGCGCTTTTTGGATGCACCCCGCCGCCGTTTTGGGTCAAAGGTAAAAGGTTAACGGGTGGGGATAGTTGGCTCGATACAACTAGCTGTTTGCAGGTTCTGCGGGTGTGTGAAATCCCTTTTGGTAGGGAGAATATTAAATAGGAACCGATAAATAAGCTGTCTGCTTCGCCAGGATAGATTACCATAAGGCTGTATAGATGGAAGTAATAGACCCATTCTATTTCCAGGGTCTATTATAGGAATTAAAATGAGCTGCTTTTCCAAACATTTTGTAATCCGTATTGTAGTTGATGAGTTAATCTAGCCAGATCAACATAACATAAGTGACTGATAATATATAAGTTCGCTTGATGCCTAAACGGCTATCTTAAATATCTCAATGGAAATTTCTTAGGAAATCCAATTTCATGAACAGTTTCAAGAATATTCTCGTATTCTTGCTTTCGGAACTTTCAAAAATAACTTTTAGTAGGCTTGGTAAAACCCAGCTTTATGCAAGGACTTTATATCCCATAAAAATCAATTTCGTCTGTTGAAGGGTCAGTGTTGAAGAACTTGCGTACGCAATTACAGAAATAACCACTTTAAAGTAGCTACATCGTTTGTTTGACTTTAAATTGAACTAGGCCTTTAGACTTCGTATCTTTACCCGATGGCAAGAAGGAGCAACTAGAGGGGTGTCGACCTACGTAAGTCACGCAATGTTGTCCCCCGAGCAGTGCATATATATTATATACACCATAGCTTGAGCTCCACTTGTGTGGGGTATATGGAAACAGCTGAGCATTGGCCGGCGTGACAATGCGACGCCTTAGAGCAAAAACAAGCGCACCAGCCAAGCCGAATCCAACAGAAACAACACCTACACGGAGCTGGTAGGCAAGTGCATCGCCATTGCCATCGCCATCGCCATCACCATCACCATCGCCATAGCCATCGCCTGACTGATTGCATGTCCGCCTGCGACCCATTCATTGTCTGGTTTTGAGCCCAGCCGGCAGCAGAGGGTTAAGGGGGCTGGGTGGGCCTTAACTGGAGCAACGCACGAAAGTCATGTTACAATGTACGAAAAATTGGCCAAATGCCGCTGGAACTGGCTTCACTGTGTTTATAGGTTAAGAACTGAGCCTTGGCCTCATCCCCCTCTCATCCTCTCGTGCACCATGCTGACTTTTTAAGCCAATTGGGAGCAGCTGCCTGTAGGCAATTTTGATAATAACATAAATGCCTTGCTGCCGGAGAAATGGGGCGAAAAGACCCAGACGGGCTGACCAAGTGACCTTGTCGTGGCCAATAATCGGTGGGTGACTCGTATGCCTCCCAGCTTAATTGTCCCATGTTGCAGGTGCAATGCCTGCGATGCAGATTCATTCACAATACGAGTATACCCAGCAGGTTTCCATAGCACTGCCGCTTCCCACGAACCCCAGAGAACCAGTTAAAAGAGCGCCGAAGGCCAAGTCATAACTAATGGCGACATGATTTGCCTGCAAATCTATGCGAAGAAATGTGGGATACAGATACTTCCAGCTGATATAATATGGTGAAAATGTACATTTATCAGTCCAAACTTCCCAAAAACACCTGCAACACGATTCAGACGATTGGCTGAAATCAGAAGCCATTTTTTGATGTAGAGTAGGAACGGTATTTTTACGGATATTTAAATCAAAACTATTTTTTTTCGCAGTGTTTTTTTAATCGTGTGTGGGAACTCGTGGCTTGGCGAAACGCCAATGCAAATGTAAATGCGTTCCCATCTCAAGTTACCAAATCTTTGAAGTAGCTGCTCAAATGGGATAGCAGAGCACTTGGCGGCGATTCATGGGAACTCAATTTACTTATGGGCCGCTTTTTACTACCATTTTAATGGCATTAGTTCGCCAGGTGGGGGTTCGCTTTTAACAGGGGAAAACTGGGCTTAAAGCTTAGCGTGCTACGCGCAGAAAATAGAATAGAATGAATAATAATCGTTAAAACAGAAACTATCAATATCAAAAGGGTCATAACAACTAATGTTTCTTCAGCAATTGTTTCAACATCTCCCCTTGCCACTTAATTACGCAACTCATCAATTAGGCAGACGTCGAACCCAGAGACAGGAGTCTTAACACCGAGCTCCGGGCATTAAAAATGAAGAAATTGCGAGTCTTAACAATTATGGCCAGAAGCCGAAAGGTGGCCCTGGCAATTATGGACAGTTACCCCCTACTAGTTCCATCCCACCCCCTATCGGATTCGGGCCAAGACAATGGCCCATTAGCAGCGCGCTTTAATTATTTAGTTTGCGGCCAAAACCGAACCCATAGATAGAGGAAAACGCGCACAGAAAAGCACGAAAATACGGCAGAAAGAATGAGACTAAATCATCGGCAGTGGGGCGGTCGGGCTGAAGGGCTGAAGGGGCGTGGTCCCCGAAAAATAGTACAACAAATGCAAAAACGAAATTCCGATTCTTTTCCTCTCGTATAGAGAACATTTCCAGTTTGGTTGCGCTGTCTCGCTTTCCGCTTTCCGTATTGTTTTCCGTTTCGGGTAGCAAATGTTTTTTGCGCAAGTCAGGGTCAAGCAACTGCAGATGGGATCCAACATCCCCAAAGCAGATATATATGTGCATATGCCCATGTACATTGTCTGGCGAATACATGGCCAAGACAGCATCCTCCCCCCCAGCCAGTTACCATCTAATCAATTTTAATCGTCTTGAGTGCTTCCGCTGGTAATCCATGAGCGGCACACGCCGCATCTGGATGCCCATAAACCTAAACCGATTCCCATTGCCAGGTTCCAGGGTTCGATGGCAAACAAACACTAATTGTAAATTAAATGATCCCGATAATATCCGAGAACATCTATCTGGGCAAGCAAACAAACCGAAATGAAAACAAAAGCGTTGACCTCGCGCCGTGTTTTGAGACAACCCCCGGGCAGGATAATAAACAAGGGTCGGGGGCAGGTCCACTCCACTCACCGGGGCACACGCCGCGACGGTTCTGGTCCATTAACCCGTCGTCGTGTCGTTGTCGTTGTAGCTACAACTTGGAGTGTCCTGCGAGGTTCCCTGAGAGAGTCCTTTCGGGGGATGCCACCGCTGGCAAAGGAAACTAATGTTTATATTGACTTTTCACAATGCACAATGCGGCACGTGGCCGACGGTTGCTCCTTTTTTCTTCCTGTACATGTCCTCTAAGCCAACAGTTTGCCAGTGCAATTAACGCTGAACTACGCTTGACCGCTAATTGTCAAAATATTTACTAAGGTTCTGGTACCTTTCCCGGTCACTCTTCGATTTTGCCACGTGGGCTTAGCTTAGATGGGCCAGGATCTGTGTTTGGGCCTCACAGGCGCTTTATTTCTGCACTGAAACCAAATGAAAGCTGTCGTGCCACACATACGAGTATGTCCATCTCCCCGCCACATTTATCGCAAATGAAAGCGAATGAAGCAATTAAATATTTTCTTTATTTTCATTTTTTGTGTTGGTCATTAAAAGAAACGCGAAATGCCAACGAACTCGGACGGGCGAATCGTTAATCAAGCCATCAAGGCCCGAGAGTTTATTGCATTTGTTTTAATTAATTTAAATTATACAAATATGTTGACCCCTCCTCGAAGTCCCTCTCCTCCCAACTGGTCAACTACCCCGAGGTCAAGTAAGTCTAAAGCACCCCTGAGAGAAGTAGATACATATGCTAGTTCCTCCAGCTCCTGGTTTTCCTAATTCTGCTCCCGACTGACAAAGCTGCGGACATTATCAAATGCACTGGGGAAAATGAGTTATGCTTTCTAATTATTCAAGAGCTGGCACAGTATCATCCCGGAACTTGGAGGCATTATTAAAACTAGACGACAACTAAAAACCATCAGAAAACTTATATGGTTTTCATGCTACTTTGCTGTCGGAAGTTCCATGTAAGATTCGTTTTTTAGAACCAATCATTGGAATATGTATTAAATTGTATATGTGGCACACCTTTGTAGTATGCGTTTAAGATCCAAAGTTTTCCCAATTTTCCGCGTGCTTTTAGCCCCTAGTCGCTTTGTTCTAGACCGCCCCACGCTGCTGGCGGCTTCCTTCCTGTTCTTTAATCCGTCAACAGCACGTGCGTGTGTTTGTCTGTCTGTCGGCCGCTTGGTCGCTGGTCGCTTGGTTGGTTGGTCGGTTGGTCCTCTTCGCCTTTCGGGAGGAGAGGACCTCCTGGCGCGGCGTTGAAATTAGTTTTGAATCATTTATGAGTCATGTTGTTTGGGGTCTGGGCCGCAGTCTGACCAACCGAACCCAGAACGGGGAGTTCCTCGGAGCGGGCATAATCGATTTAATAGGCCGAAATTGTTACGCGCCGTATGTTGAGAGGGCGTTTTCCCCATACACTCGTACTCTATGTATACAGTGGCTAGCACTCACCTTGAAAATAACTTTTGGTTCTTAAATAACTAACAGACAGCCTTAGAATGCTCAGTCGATCCAGTTTGCTCAAGATGTTCTGCTCGAAGGGCAGCAGCGAGGCCAGGAGATCCAGCTCGGCGTTGAGGCGCTCCCGATGCCGCTTTGATGGATTGCTCTTTGTGACGCCATCCTTGGGCGGCGGCTTCAGGCTGGGGGTGAAATGAAAATTGAGGAAGTGAGTGAAAGGGAAATTCAAAACAATTTTCATGCATAAATGGAAAGTGGCTCCCTAAATAGAACCAAAAGTAGAGCGTATGAGGCCTCGGACGCGTCAGCTGGCGACGACGGTGGCGTGAACTTGGAAAGGTCAAAATTATTAATTGCACTTATCAGTTACCCGAAACTACATAATAACAGTCGCACAATGGACCTCGATATCCTCCCCCAGATGGCCCACGGCCCTCGAGGATTACAGCCATAAAACGGACACTCAATCAGGGGTGGGTGGGTTCGATTAGCTATGCCCACTTGGTTCTCTGATTAGCCGATCCACAAGGAGTGGGTGAGTTGCACAATCGATCCCCCTTGCGTCTGCAATGCGTGATAAGGATACCTTTAATGACCAGCGCATTTCACTTTTAAATCGCATTTTCGGTTAATGCGAGAAATCGTGCTATTGACTCTACTATTATCTATAAATTTAATCATAAATGAATGCACGTTCAACAAAATAAATAGAAGTAAGCATAGTACATACATAATTCATTTTACTCTAGTGAAATCTATTACTGAGTACTTTTAGCTCAAGGATTTCTGAGATAACTTTATGTACAATTTTCGAAAATCACTTACTGCCGAGCGAAAAGCCCTTGTTTTCTAATTTAATACGAATATCATACATAATTGAACCAATCGATCGACTTCTTCCTATGAATTAACCTATTAAATTTCCACATTTTAAGTGTCATGCTCCGATTGCGAGTCAAGAAAGTTAATCGGGCCTATTACCTGGCTCCACCTCTAACAGTTTCCATGAATCGAATCATAAACGGGAATATGCGCAGATACAGGCACAAACAAATCAGAAGTCGGACCGCAATCTAAAACCACTCCAATTAAATGTCATAAAATGTTGAGGACCCAACCGAAGTCGAGTCAAATGTAGCATTGTAAAGCCAAATGCAGTACGAGTATGATATTTTATAATGGGGTTGTGCGGGATCGGAGCCGCAGAACTCATAAATGCAAAATCCGTTTATGATGGGACACGGGGAACGGAATATGGGAAGTGGGCAATCAGGAATCGGGCTTGAGTGGTGGCAATCTGGATAAGCTCGTGGCTGGACTGGGATTGAAGAGCTTTGCCGCTAGTTCATCATTATCTCTGCCCGTAAGCGGATAAGTGGGACAGTTATGCCGGATTGTCTTTATAAGCACTCGGAGTTCTCGGAGTTACCTGCATCTGGCTCCACTGTGTGTTGTTGGGCTGTGTTCTTTTTTTAATCATTTTTTGTCTCATCATTTTCATTGAAATTATTACATGGCTAATTGCGGTAATTAAATATAATTATTGTTGTAATTTATGAGACGACCCCCTTCATGGCCGTTCCAACCCTTTTCCCTCCGCGTGGCTTTTTGTCACTGCTTGAAATTTTTTAGATGCTTTGTTGCCGTTTGAGTTTTTGTGTGTGCGCTGTTTTTATTTCGAAAACTTTTTGCTCGACTGCACACACACACACATATGCGCACTGGAGGCGAAAAAAAAGGACGAGGACTGTTGCAGGATATTGTCGCGTTAAGTTAATTGGCTGGCGGACCTCGTCCTGTACTTTTTTTGCTGCAGCAGCAGCAGGTTCCCGGGTAATTGTCAGTGGCATGTCCGTTTGGTGTCACAAAACTGGACGACGACATGTTGCCTCAAATTGTCGCTGGCCGGATAATCCCCACCGCTGATATCGGAACAGTCCCAATCCCAATCCTATTATCGTGCCACCAAGGTGTTGTCCTGCAGGAGAAGGAATGCCAACTTGTCGCCCGGCAGCAAAGGATAAAGAGATCGCAGATAGGGATTCCTGCAGAGACCCACTAGGATTCCAGTGGCTACGCAAATCGCCGCTAAATGTGGTATTCTTTGAGCCAAAAGACCTCTCATCAAATCAATACAAATCGAAGGAACGCATTGAATGAAATGGCCAATTACGAAGAAATTTGAAAATGATCAGTGTCTGGGCAAAAAAGGATAAACGAGCGAACTTATAGCTGGACTTCGGCGGCATGATTATATTGATGAACGAAACCGTTAGACGCATCGGAATGCACTGGAGGACGCCAGTCAAGGCTGCGAATTAGCAAAGGGAATCGACATAGAAATAATTTCCAAGCCAGGCCAAATTGGTGCCCCTGCCAAATTGGGGGCAATGCGGTGTATTATTTTTTGTTGTGCCCTCTTGCTCTCAGTTTGCGCGGCATAAAATGTATAATTTTCTTATTATCTATATATGGCAAGGGAATGAAAAGGAAGCCAAATGGCAAGGGCAGCGGCAAAGGCAACGGCAACGGCAACGGCAAAGGATCAGAGGTAGGACGGCAAGTACTGGAAATAAAATTAATTCCATAAACAACTTTCCAAAAAGTAAAGAACTTTCGGCGGCGGCGGAGGAGAGGTAAAAGGTGGCTCAACCTTTTGTCTGGGAGCCATAAAAACGTCAAGCAGGAGAAGCACAGAGAGAGTTTAGAGAGGAATCCTAGCCAACAAAGGATATCTGCAGAAGTGTGTGTGTGTATCTGTATGCTCCACGTTCCTTGCGAACTTTCAGCCCCAAAAAGCCATTTTTATTCTCCTTCAGCTTTGTCGACATCGTCGTCCTCGTCCTTTCTATACATTTTTCCTCATGTATTATTTTCGCCATTTGCGTTGCTTCCCCGCCTTTCCACCCATCCCACCCCTTCGGCATTCTTCTTCACATTTCTTCTTTCCTTTTCCCATTATGAAATGAATTGCTTTTAAAGAAATTACAATGCGGACGACTTTTGGGATTGGGGTTTCGTTTTTCCGGATCGGAGGGAGGAGCCAAGGGATTGCGGACCGGGGTGGTATATGTGTGTCTCGATTGGGTTGACACAAATTGCAAGGTCCAAGGCTGTCGTCTCGCCCACAGCACGCCAAAGCAAAGTCCAGAGATCCACAGATACGATATAAGCCCTAAATCCCGACGCACCACACCCACTGTTGTCCAGCGCGGTAGATATATTGGAAAGCTCAAAGTAAATTTATTAGGCTTAGTTGCAAAAACTAATTAAAAGACAGCGGTGCTTATAGCAACTATTTTTCAATCAAAAATTAAAGTGTTTTGTAGATCAGTGATGATATAAGCATGACATGAATCATATAAAATAAAACGTGTCATCTGAATAATTAAGTCAATGCTTATATTATCTCTTATTTCGAGGCTATATGCTGCCTTGGCCTAGTAACCCTAATTAAAGTATATTTAAGTCGTGGAGTAACAGATGCATTACACTTTGCATTCGTTCGATATTGGAAAAGTATAAGGGGAAGTCCAAAAACGGATTATCAACTTACAAGTAATATGAAGTTATTTTGGGTGTGGGAAGCGACAAATAGTTTTAATTTGCAAAATTTAACTTTCCTTTTGAATATGTTCCCATTTGCAAGTGTCGATTGTTGCTTAATCCCCACGGCGACCCTCGACCTCTGGCTTGGATTTGCATACGGCAGAGTTCAGTCGGCACCCCCGCTTCAAAAGTGCCGCTTCCTCGGGCCTTTGTGATATGTTTATAAACAAATGACACGCGATCCTTCGGGGGCACGTGAGTTCACGGCATCCAGCTCAGCTGTCTACGCCTTCGGTTGGCTACCTCGGCCGGCTTGCATGCAAAGCATTACGCATACGCAGCGTGTTCAGGTGGCTTTTGCTACCGCTGCTGTTGTTGATCATAACACGCTCAATTTGGCGCCAAAATCGCAGCAAACCGTTAGCAACTGGCACACTCATATACTCACGCAGACCAGACCAGGCCAGACCAGACACTCATTCATTCATTCATCAGTTGGTAGCTCTTTTGACTTTGGCCTATGCGTGTTGGTCGAGAGCTGCGTGCCGCCACTGCACCTGATAGATGTGCCCCCTTGCCACAAAATTGGCGGCAACCCTTTCGGCACCTATAAAAACGCCAAGTAGCGTGTCCAAAACCGAAAAACTCTAAACAACACCAGCGTATTGTGGGTCATCACAGCTTACTTTTACTGCAACTAAATTGATTTTGCATACACTTGAACCACCACCCACTTGTTGATAGCGCTTAAATCTACATCCAGACTTAAAAAATGCCAGACATATCTGACCTGTCACAGTGGTATTCCTTGAAAATGTCACAATTAATTGAATTTACATTTCTGCATATAAAAATGTCAAAACAAAGAGGGGCCCATAAGAGCGGGGCTCGAATTTAAGCGCCATTTAGGGAAGCTGTCAACTGGAGAACATGCTACTCTGCTACCGTGCTGCAACTTTGGTCCAGTCACTTAGCCCCAACAGCCAGCAGAATCTGGCCACAAAGGGAGCCTCCTAATCTATGGACCACTTAATGGATCTGCGCCAAATTCACGCATAAATTTCAAGGCTCAGCATCCCAAAGCTGTTAAAATTAACGAGGAGCACACGTAGTCAGGGAGCGAGGGGAGCTTCACAGCTTGGCCAACTCATTAATTTTGTCAACCCGACTGCGAAAAAAGTGAATCGAGAGGCAGTAGCTGAAACCAAAAGCGACTACAAAACGATCGCGCAACTCTGTCAAGATAACAAGGCGGCGAAAAGAGGAGAAAAAGTGGATCGGATCGAATTTGGAGGAGACCAATTCAGAAGAGCGTTACACAGTAAAATAAAATAATATTGATTTTGAATAAACCTACAGTTAATATAATTTCATCAATGGGAAATATGCGTTCATGCGAACTTATCATTAGCCACAAAATTGATTCATTCAGATTGCACGAATGTTCAATGGTTTACTTATAATTTAATTATTTACTCTGAACTAAATTAAGCATTTGAAAGAAAGACATATCGAATATAATATTTGATATGATGGGTTCCGATGAACCACTACTTTTGGAACACCTATGCTGTAGCCTGTCCTTTCTTCCCAGTGTATCTGAACGAAGGCTGCGACTGAGAATCTGGGAAGA